CCAGCCGTTACCAAAGTCGGATGGAAAAGCGGGTGGACGGGGACGCCCCAGCAGCGCGGACGTGCGAGCTGCCTCCTTCTGCGTCCGACGCGGGGGCGCGCGGCTCCTCCTCCGGTCGCCCGTCCTTTCCCGGAGCCCTACCCAGCGTGTCCCGCCGCGAGTAGTGGAGCAGAAAGTCTCGATCTCTCGTACCACGCCGCCTGCTTTGGCGTCCTTTATATCCAACTTACTAGTCGGGATCTTTGAACCTGGATTTGAGGTTACGCCTGGGGAGCGCCGAGCGTGTTGCCGTGCGAAAGGTCTGTCTCCGATGCGCCACAGCTCAGTCCTCTCCTGGCTCCCAGGGGTCTTGAGGGAGGAGCAGGAGCGCTAATTCCTGTTACTGCTTGAACAGGGCTACCTGGTTCTGAGCAGGCCTCTAGGAGCAACCAGCCCCGTTTAACGTGTCCCGGGCGTTGTCTTCAAATGAAGCTTGAAAGTCATAACAGCCTGCTCCTTTCTCTGTTTTTGTTAGTGGAAGCTCACAGGCTAATCTGTTTTGCAATCAGCAGTCTTACTGAGCTTGATCTGAGCTGTTCAAAAGCACAGTGAATATTTGCGTTTATCCTCCAACGGCTGGAGCACCCATCTCTCGTAGCAGGCTTTGCTTCCTTGTTCCGGCACAGCCTGCGCTCTCGGTAGGCTCCATGTGCGGGAGCTCGGATGAGGTTCAGGAAGGCGACAGGGCTTTGTGGAAGTTGTCGTGAACCACTTTTGTGGGATCTCTCCGGGGCTTTGCTCGTGGCTGCAGAGTGCTGCAGTCCAAGCACAGCCCTGCTCCCGCTCTGCCTGCGGTGCCTCTCCGAGGGAAGTGGCACCACAGCTGGAGTGGGGACCTGGTGGCTGTATTTTTGGGTTCTGCTTTTAGCTGTGCCATTTCCTGTGAGCTCAGTGCTGAAGTAATTTCCCTGTCTGCACCTGTTCCCCCCCACACCCCAAAATGGAGTTAATTGTCTGCTGGCAGTGGCTGGGAGACTTCAGGGCCATAAATCATTTTGCAGCGCTTGAAGCTGCAAGGCACGCTGCCTCAGGCTGCGGCAGCGCCGGTGTGCTAAAGGACCGGTTCGAAGACGCTGATCTGGAAGCGGCTGTCTGTGACTGCGCCGTGGGGCGCTGCCTGGCAGCTGCCGCCATGTCCTCGTTGGGAAATGAGCTGTTTATAGCGTCGGGGCCTTCCAGCTGACGGGTCTAGGCAATGCTAAGGGCCCCGGGGCGTTAAACTGGGGACAACTGAGGTGACGCTGCTCACTTTGGGAAGTTACCTGTGGATGCTCTGAAGATGCAGGGAAGCGTTGATTCAAAAAGGCCCTTTTTTTAGCATATGGCATAGTGTTAATCTCCTAAGCGTGATTAGGACAAGGAGGTGGTTGGGGGAGTGTGCCAATTTTGGAGCAAGTGTACTTGGCTTCCTTATTTCCAGCATGTTTGGGAGCAGAGCAGGAGAAAGCACGCCTCTGGGGTATCTTGCAAGAATCCCCGTGCCCCAGGTGACTTTTATGAATGAAGAACTCAGCGCAGCAGGTGATTTTCTCTGCGCAGCTTCCAGTTCAGACAGCT